CACTTTGGAGACTAGCTCTTAGTAAACCTAATACAGTAGTTTTTCACCTAGCACTGGAGCACATCTTTGTTTCTTTGCTTGAGCACTAGAAGAAGGATTTGGTTTGTATTTAGGGGCCATACGTAAGAAATACGAATAGTATCTTTAGCACTGGTGTAACACCGCAGAGGGCTAGAGGGCTCAACTATGAGAAGCCAGGTAAACAGAACCAACCAAACAGAACCACTTTAGAGTCGCATCAGCATTCTCAGGCTCAACAGGATGGCAGGTGGAATTGCCCACCATATTTAAGTGGTTCTTTTTCTATATGTAGTGTTTTTTGTTTCTTGTGCGTGTTTTGGTGCCATATGTGTGGAGCTGAAGTTTGAATCCATTAAATGCAGTTATAATGTGGTTCCTTGTAGACAGTCCATGAAGCAACCCTTTCTTTGCTCAGAGCTTCATTACAGGAAGGGTCTCTTTTCCACAGAGAGCTATGTGTTTTATAATTAAAGAACACAAAGTCCCTCCCTGAACTCTTTCTTTGGGAGGCCAGAGTTACAGCTGTATCACTGAACTTTAGAAAACCTAACTCTGGCCCCACAGATCAAACCGGAAGTTGGTATGCACTGGTGAGTTTTGTGCTCACAAAGGTGCAAAGGGCATTCAGGCTGTGGAAGCCCAGGAGAAGTCCTTTCAACCTAGATGTCATTCCTATGCCCCCACCCTCACTGTCACCCCAGCAAGTGGCAATCTTTGTCCGCCCAAGATTCTTGTAGTATGCAATGTTTTGCCCACTCAGTCTGGCTCTAATTATTTATTGACATTCATTTTTAAATATATTCTATATATACACAGCCTGTCTTTCCAGTTAAATCATAAATTCTTCAAAGGCGAATAATATATGTCTTTTACCTCTTTTTATAACCCACAGTGTCTAATATGGTGCCTTCATATATAAGTGCTCCATTCCTATCTAGTCCATTAGCATCAGTTATGATTGATTCTCTTACAGGAGAGAGGAACTATGCATGTGAATTAAATATAACGGTATGCTCTGAAAGCACAAGCTATGTAAAAAGGCCACTATTGCCCCTTTGAATTAATTCAATGAAGTTTTAAAATTGTTACTTATTTTTGAAGTTATTGAGGATTTGTCTAAGGAGCCTTACCGATTGAGAATTTATATCATTTACAAAAGCAAAGAAAATGCTAGTTGCCTTAAAACAAACCAACCAATCTGTGAAGTAACCCCAATATCTCACTTTAATCACAACCTTAGAGAGTAGGTCTATTTCCAGCCTCCTCAAATAAAAGACTGGTTTTGTGCTCCATACTGTGTAAAATAAGTTGAGAATTTTAAAAATGTGTGATAAGTGAATGGTAAATTAGAATCCTTACATCAACAGACCACATGACTTCATGGAGATTGTCATTTAAATAACATGCATTTTCAGCGGTTCCATTCAGTGCATATCTTCCTTGATCACTCTTTATTATAAAATTAAATATCATTTTATGCTGAGCTAAAGGTCATTATTATTGCATTAGGAGAAATGGTGCTTTCTAATATCAGAACAGCTGCAATAATTCATAGTAAAAAATGCTATGTATGTTTTACAAATGCCATTCTAAATATTGCCTGACATATTGCTAATTTTGGTTACATTTTAAATAAAATGAGATTCTAATGAAATTATATATGTAAAGCATATTCTGATGAATTAGAAGCATTAGCACCTTTTATACTGTTTCTTTATAAAACTGTGGAGGTGGCTGGGCGCCGTGGCTCATGCCTGTAATCCCAACACTAAGAGGCAGAGGTGAGTGGATTGCCTGAGCTCATGAGATGGAGACCAGCCTGAGCAAGAGCTGAGACCCTGTCTCTAAAAACTAACGTGGCCTGGGGCGGGCTTCTGTAGTCCCAGCTACTACTCAGGAGGCTGAGGCAAGAGGATCACTTGAGCCCAAGAGTTTGAGGTTGCTGTGAGCTAAGTGAGCAAGTGAGACTGTCTCAAAAAACAAACAAACTAAAAATCTGTGAAGGATTATTATAGGAATTGGTGTCATGATTATTTTAACTGCTGGCTTTATCAGCTATAAGGGACATTATCTCTGTACAACCTATTGTCTCCTCTTGCTTTCCAAACACAATGTTGCAAGTGACATTGCAATCCTCATTTCCTGCAGGGGATAAGTTAAGGTTGGAGGTTTCCAGGGCCCACCTGAGGGCCCACCTGAGTACACACCACAAATCCAGGAGGCCTGGGCACCGCATTCCCAACTCCTTATCCTTATCACAGACTCATCTTTTCACTTCCTCCTGTTCCAGACCAACTGTTTAGGTAAGCTTTGATCATTTGCATCTGTCTTTTTAGAATTAATAACAGAATACTGGCAGGAAGGGAGGTGTTGGGGTTATTAGCAAATGTTTGTTATTGTTCTGACTCATGAAAGCTTGGAAGGCCCCCAAAACCCCACATCACCTCCAAGGCTCTGGCTGGCTTGCTGCTTTCCAAGGCCTATTATTTAGGGACTGTCTATGCTATCCTATCAAACAATAAGCCTCTTTCCCCTCTGTTTTGCTCACCTAGTCATCGTCTTTCCTTGGGATTTGGAAGGGTGTATCAAAGCAAGAGAAAGAGTCAGTGGCTATTTCTTTCTTTGCTCTTAGGTTGGGTATTGTTTCGGCACCTTGGATACACCCATTTTTTAATTATGATGAAGTATTTGTTTTGCAAGGCAGTTCTCTGCCTTATGCAGGAGATATTGCGGGGTGGGGGATCATTGTGAAACTAACATGGTGATTAGGAAACAAATGGATTGAAGCAAGCATGCAGTGTTTATACACACTCAGCTGATTTTCTTGGGGAAGGAAGGCTCTAAATTCATTCCAACGTGCCATGAGAGGTCACTTGAGCCACTACCACTTGCTCTTTGCCTCTTTTTATAAGTTATAAGCCACCATGTATATTTGCCTCATGAAAAAATTTGGCCTCACCCTGACATTCATCAGATTTGTGACAAATAACTAATTGAAATGTTTACCAAGAAGAAAGACAGGTCTCCCCCAGAACCTCTGAGCGCTGTCCAGAAAGTAGCCATGTAATATGACAAGGTAATACTGCATTAACAATGGCTGGATACTTTCTGGACAGCCCTTGTAAAGGGCCATTTACTACTTAAAATGGGTGTCAGTGTGCTACCTAGGTCCTAAACCAATCCAAATAAAGAGGGTTTTTACAAAACTCAGTTGATAGGCAACTTTCTTTTACTATAGCATTTTATATTTTAGGTATGGTCAGGAACAGAGGGGAGGGGAGAAGTTTAAGCCAAGGACAATGACACATATTAACAGTAGTAATATAATGGCAGTTGCAGGATTTGGGCAGAGCAGGATACCCCTGTGTTTCATAGAATAGTATCCACGGTTCAGAATCTCAACCCGACAGTTTGATCCAGTGATGGCTCAGGAGTTCCCAAAGGCAGAATTGTTTAATCTGGAATCTAGGCCCATTTAACCCAACAATTTGACCCAGCAATGGTTCAGGAATTCCAAAAGGCAGAATTATTTAATTTGGAACCCAGGACCACGTGTGTCATCTAGGAGTCTTAAAAATACAAAGCCCTGGGCTCCACTCTAGACGTATTGAAACAGAATCTCTTAGAGGTGTGGGTGCTGGACTTTGCCTCTTCAGCAGGATTTCTGGGTGATTCTTAAGCACACTAAAGTTTAAAATCACCAGAGACTTTTCTTTTTCACTTACTGATGGATCCAAGTGCCTAGAACAGCAATTGATGCAGCTCAATAAATACTTGTTGAATGAATAATGAGTCTGTGGCACTTAGGGGTTCAATTATAGGTATTTTTCTAGACCATCTGATCCAAAATGCTATCATAAGCATAATATCACATACCCAAGGGTCGCAAGGCTAGGGGGTGGAGGAAGGCTCCTATCTCTGTCCAACAGCCGCAGCAAATTATCTCCACCTTAACCGACTTCTCCCTGTTTGTATTTACTGCCCAGGCTCTCACAGAGGAAGCAGCAACCAGCCACTTGAAAGAGAAGGCAGAGAAATGCAACACTGTTTTTGCATATACATTCTGTTAAGACTGTATTTACTGATTTATTAAGTACCCACTGCATTCTTCAACAGGTGAATGGATAAACTATGGTGTATTCATACAATGGAACGCAATAAAAAGGGAAAACTATTGATACACACAACGTGAACGAATCTCACACACATTATGCAAATTGAAAGAAGCCGGCTCCTAAAGATGACATATTGTATTATATCATGCGGCTTTTATGACATTCAGGAAAATGCAAAACTGTAGGGAAGGAAAACAAATCAATAGTTGCCTAATTAGGGTTAGGAATGGGGGCACAAGTTTAAGCACAAGGGAATTTTTTTGGATGATGAAATGATTCCACATTCTGTATGAGATGATAGTTGTATGAATCTATGCATGTATTAAAACTCATAAACTATAGACCAACAAAAGTGAATGTGCTACATACAAATTATATTTAAAAAGAACCCACTTCATCTACAAAGTAAGTTATCAGGTCTCTGAGGGCCCCCGAGACGCTTTTCTTGCCTTTACCAACATGGGAAATGTATTGGGGAAGAAAGGTCTTAGAATATGAGTGTGAAAGTGAGGAATCACCACTATGCCACATGGTTATACTCAGTACTTTATTTTATTTTTTGAGACAGAGTCTCACTATGTGGCCCATGGTAGAATGCCATGGTGTCATAGCTCACAGCAACCTCAAACTCTTGGGCTTAAGCGATTCTCTTGCCTCAGCCTCCCAAGCAGCTGGGTCTCTAGGCCCATCACAACGGCTGGCAATTTTTTTGTTGCAGTTGTTTAGTTGGCTCAGGCTGGGTTCAAACCCACCATCCTCCATGTATGTGGCTGGCACCATAACCACTGTGCTATGGGTGCTGAGCCAACACTCTCAGTACTTTATACCTGGTGCTGAATTTAGCATATTATAAACTGGAAACCATTTTGTATAAAATTCCTTTATTATAGTGCAAATAACTTTCAGCAGTGACATAATGTAATAACACATTTAGCAACATTTTACACCACGCAGTAAATAAGAAAGTGTTTCTTTGAAAATATGTCATCATAGGAACATTATTTCTACATTAACGCTGGAAAATGCCAAGGCTGTTTCTCTCAAGGAAACAGGGCTCCCTCCCTCTTTTAGGATATTTTCTTTTTAACACAAATGAAATGATTTGCCATTTTAACAAATCATCAATTCTAAAAGTGATCTCTCAGGGGGTTTTGAACTGAGGTTGGCAAGATTTGAAATGGGGTTTCAAAATTTAAAAAAAATAACAATTTGGGGGAATAGCCCAAAAAGTAGAATTCATTTCTATTAACTTTTAAGCAGATATACACATTCACTCCAATTTTGCAGTAGAAACGGACAGATTGTCTAAAGCCTGCCTTTTATTTCCCCAGAGCCTGATTGTTATTTATACTCCTTGGTTTTGGTTATTGCAAAACTAGGGCTCTGGTCAGAAATAACTCCTTACATTCCCAAATACTTCCCTGTGAAGCTTTAAATTGCACTTTCTTTCCTGAAATTCTCACCTTAGACCTCACAGGCTGAGGAGAGGGTATGAACATTGTTTCAGTTTATAGCTAATGGTTAGTACAGCTGGATTAGACCCCTACTAATATAGCTATATCTGAATTAAATCATCGCATCATTTACATGAATCCAAATAGGCTTATCAAAGAGGTTCCCACTGACCTCACAGAGAAACAAAGGGTTAACACTGCATTTTCACACTAAGCTGCTAAGGAGTTAGCTGAGAGGTGGAGAGAACCAGAGTGTCAATTCCAATCAGTTACACTCCCTGCGCCTCTAGTTTCTGCTGAATTATGCAGTGGGTGGGAATCGTAGCCACTTGAAGGAGTCCTCCTATGGAAGTCTTCCACCATAAGGGAATCAAAACTCCTATCAATATACTTCAGGGTGCCCTCTCTACAAACACACCCCCAAATTTAGTGGCTTTTTAGTGACAAGCCATGAGAAGTTAATCACAGGCTTGAAAATACCTGGAGCCACAGAACAGCCCTCATGGCTGAAAATGGCTGAATAAGTCAGCTTGTACATAGAGGTTTTCAATGTACAGCCAGTCTTGTTGGAGAAAGGATCTTCTTATACAACACAGTGGAACTGTGCTAAACAGTTTCAAAGTTGAGAAGAATCCAAATATATCACCTGCAAAAAATTCATAATTTTAGTTTGCTTTATCTTAGCCTTTGGTACTGAAACACTGTCTACATTCTCGACACGTGAAAATGGCATAGCCACTTCAGTGCCTCTGCATGTTGTGTAAAAAAACCTAAAAGCAAAGCAAGACAAGGACATGTCATTACAAGACACAGAATGCTGTACAAACAAAACCTAAATTATACATAAATACACCCCCACCCCAGCACCCTTGTGTTCCCCTACTACCTGACCAAAGCAAGGCCAATGTTCCTTCTCTCCAGGGCCCATGCAGCTTGTAAAGTCCAGGACCCAGAACTCCAACCACCTCTTGCCTTGTGGTGACATTTACAGTACTACAGCCTCCTGCTGGAGTCACTCTACTCCTGTTTGATCAGTTCCACAAGTGCAAGGAAATTCCTACAGCTTAATTGGAAGCATTTCCACTATTGGCTAGACTCAAAGACCCGGAGTCCTGGGAGTTAACCTTTCAGATAAACTAACTGGATCATTTCCTAATCTGGATCCCATCTAATCCTGTCTTCTCAGAGCCAGCAAAGTAGGAAGCCTCTTCTACTCTGAAGCTCCAGAGGTTTTACTTAGGGATATTGGTGAGGGTAACATAAGAAAAGTTACACAATGAGCTAACAGCTTAAGTTGATATAAATTACTTCCAAGTAAGTTATTCGGGGCCATTTGCTTCTGTTTTACACTGCATTCCAGAATCCTTTTCATATTAGTCTTTTAAAAGTTTATATAATAGTCATTTAAAAAATTGCCTATGCAATCACCTTTTATGTTTTCAATTAATTTAATAACAACTGAATGAGCTATTATATAAATCTATGGAGAAGTAGTTAATCAGTGTTAAGGAAGCCAATCCTGTGCCAATTCACAGTTAGGAGAAAAAGCAATGTAAACAGTGTTACATAATCAGTAATAACTTGAAAGAAATTTTATCAAAATGCTTCAAAGTTTCCCCAAAAACTATTATAGTAATTTATACCAAGAGATCCTAAGGTAAGGGGTAGGAGAATATAATTCAATTCTTTAAGGTAGAAATTTACCTGTTTCATAACTGTAATATGTAATTTCCCCTCTCGGACCTAAGATATTTGTACATTCAAAAGTTTATAACTTGCTGTTCTTGAGACATTGCTCATTCTCTAATACATACATTGAGTATAAATAAATAACTACAGGAAAGCTTCAAAAATCTGAATTAACATTACGCTGTGCAAAAAAACCAACCAAATAAACAAAAAACACAAACAACAACAACAAAAAAACCAAACCTTGAACAACCTACATTCTATGTAAATACCCTGACTAAAATGTGGGTTGTGCTACACAATTCCACTTCAGTGCAGAAATGTGTTGATTTCGGTGTACCGTTGTTGTTTTTCGAGTGTCTTTAGCACTTTTGTTTCTAAACATCACTTTGCTTTGAAAAGATGAATCATTTGCTACCAGATCACAAATCATTACAAATCCATTTTAGTTTAGTCTGAATGAAATCCAGCAAAAATGTATTACTTTGTTCTGGGACTAATGGCTTGGTATCTTTGTCCCAACAGCTTCCCAATAGCAATCCATGATTGAAGATTGTCATTTTGGATTTAAACTGCACAGAAAGAAGAGACAGTAAAGCTTGCTCTTTGTTTTCTTTTTAAGTCTCCAGATCTTGGTAGGATACTTCTTCCAGACTGACAGATAGTTGTGGCACCTGATCCTATTTGAAATAGAGGTGGTGTAAACATCAACCAAGCTTGGTGATCTGGAGGTCCCCATTTATCTTTATGGTGTCAATTGCAGATAACGTTTGAATGCGATGGTAAAAATCAAAAAGCTGGTGTCCATCCACAAATACTCTGAAACGTGGGTGCTCACAAAGAATTTCCACCTGGAAGAAACAATTATCATAATCTCAATTCACAATTTCAGTGAAGCCTACTGGGGAAAACAAATAATACCTCCTTTTAGAGAAAGAAAGGCAATTATCTTCAGTGGTTCTCAACATTATGGTGCATTGGGACCAAATGGAGGGCTTGTTGGAATTGCTGGGCTCCATTCCCAAAATTTCAGATTCAGTGGATCTAGGATAAAGTCTAAGGATCTGCCATTTCCACCAAGTGCCAAGGTAATGTTGATGTTGCTAGAACAGGGAATGTGCTCTTAGAACCAGGGCTTTACATTATTCAATGTCCTTTAAAGCTTTAAAATTGCTTTTGCTTTAATGTTTCTCCCTTCTCAATGCACTTCAGAAAGTGATGTTAAGTAGCATAGATTTGTTTATATGGCACTTAATGCCTCCCCTGTCATCCCCTGAACAATTCTATATGATGTTCAGAGGAGCCCTCACCAGGCAGAACTGTAATAATAGTCTAGGCACTTAAACATGGTAAACACTAAGGCCGAGAGAAGGTTACAAGGTAATTACTACTGCCTTAAGAATATGTAATTAACAAGGCTTCCTTAAGCCGAAAAGAAACACTGATTCTATAAGGTAAAAGCTTTTCCCTCTTCTTTTCCTTAAATAATTCACCGTAGAGTTTAATTCTTGGTGGTGTGCTATGATGTATTTATTAAAAGCACTGATTTTCACCATGCAAGGAGAGTCTTCATATGTGATATTAGTCACATTTAATTTATATTATTACTAAAATTATATCATCAAAAAGAACCTATTTCTTTCTTTCTTTTTTTTCTTTTTGATACAGAGTATCACTATGTTGCCCTCGGTAGAGTACCCTGGGATCACAGCTCACAGTAACTTCTTGGGCTTAAGAGATTCTCTTGCCTCAGCCTCCCAACTAGCTGGAACTACAGGCACCCATCACACGCCTGGCTATTTTTCTTCTTGTAGTTGTCAATGTTGTTTGGCAGGCAAGGAGCAGATTCGAACCTGCCAGGCCCAGTGTATGTGGCTGGTGCCCTACCAGCTGAGCTACAGGTGCTGAGCCAAAAAAAAAAAAAAAAAGACATATTTTCATTTCAATTTTGTTGTTAGGAGAGTATTATATTTCTTCTGGGATTCAGAAGCTCTGGTTACTCATACTCATGAGCTATGCATTAAGATTCATCATTAAGAAATTGTCTAGTCAAGAGGAGCCTAAAGGGATATTGAGGAGGAAGCAGAAAGAGATTATGGGATAGGGGTGCCTTTCCCAGACTATAATTAGAAGGGTAACAATGTCAATTCTACCACTGATATAGAAGTCTTATTCTTATTTTCCCTTCAGACTGAAGAAAGGAAGAGAAATAATTACTTCTTAAAACCCTTGAAAAATTTCTAGATGAAGAGGAACAGGTTAAGGGTAGTTTTGGTTTATTGGGCTTACATGCAACACGGAGCTTTTAACTGAGTGCCATTATTGTGATGTAATATTAATAAGATGTAATGGTGACAATTTCATCACTAGCCCTGACAGTAAGTCCCTTCTAATACATCATTACTTGCACCTCTTATCTGGCACTGTCCTTCCTTGAGGAAGGTGTTGCTAATGCTTCCTGATTGGATGAAAAGTTTGGGTTGTGCTTCCTGCCTGCCAGAATGTGGGGAGCAATTCTATATTCATCCAGGCCCAAGGGAAGGAATTTGTCAGCCACACAGTCTGTGATCATGAAATAGACTGAGGCTAATTAATCCAGAGGGGGGAAACAAGGACACAGACATGGCCTCATTAACAAAGAGAACAAGAGAAAATGAAATGATAATCATTATATTCTTCATACAAGTAAGGTGTAGAGCTATATATTACCTTAAGCACTAAAAGGTATTAATACTCAGCAAGTGGCAACTTACTAGTATTTATTGATCAATTAGATACTTTGGAGAAGGTATCTATTCTATACCTAGGACTATGTTGGATACTATATAGAAAAGTACTTATTTTTAACACTCTGGACATGTAAATATGGGTCTATTTACTAAATGTATAGGCTAAAGAGAGCTGAGAGCTACTATGACAAATATTAATTTATATTAGCAAGGAAAGCTTTTTTGATCTTTTTTCTTTTTCACCATTGGGTGACAAATTTCCTGGACATGCAGAAATTCTGGCTGCTTAAAGTGTTCTTGGCACGCACTAAATAAGCAGAACATCATCACCCTGCCAGGCCTTGGAGCTGAGACACTCGAGGTACTCACCCTGAATGGCTGGTCTGGGATGAATGGAAAATAAGGGATTGCTGACTGTTCTTCACCCCTTTCCCCGGATATGCAAGAATTTCTGAGTAGCTGCCGGTCTGTGAACACAGCTTTGAGTTCAATTGCCACATCAGCTGGAGGATCTTCTGAGTCACCACAGGTCAAGCTGATTGCAAAGCTGAAAATAGTCTCATTTATTCAGGGTTGGATATAATAACATTTCAAAATGACCTAGGTCTCTATATTTCTTCCTCCTTCTCTGGGGCTTATGTTGTTTTTAATGGGCCACTACTCTTTTCAAGAGAGGTTAGACTATGGAGAAGTAACTCAAAACCAGTTTATTTTGTTACCTAAAGCCAGCTCTGGTGAAAACTTTGGTGGAGTTGAAAACAACTAAAACTAGAGATTTCTAATACCCAAATCACCCACACATCTGTGTCTTAATCCATTTCAGATAATATCTTAAGTCTGGTCCTTATTTATATTGGTAATTCCTGCTCCAAGAACTATGTTTCAAAATCATTAAAAAAAAAAAAAATCCTTTGGCCTCCCTAAGGGTCAAAGAGAAAATGTGAGCCTGTATTTATAATCTCTGATATAAATAGCTGTCTGGAGAAATGATGGCTAGGATTCATACACATTCTTTTCATGGGAACATGGTACTTTCTTGGCACTCCCAACTAGCAACGCTCTCCACAAGAGAGAGGAAGAGGAGGAGCACCAAACCACAACAGGAGTACACAGGCCCCGCCGATGCCTGATGGTTCTTGGGCTACAAGTACTCCGCCTTACCTTTCGGGGTTAAGATCTACGATGCCCATCACTAACACCTTCTTGCCTGGTCTCATGCCACCTTTGATGTGCCCACAAAATGGAACTATCTGTAAAGGATTGGAGAAGGAACAGGAAGTTTACAGCCAGTGAGGAAAGAGCCAAGCCCTCACATCCTGAAGGCCTGATCCAATAGAAAATTAGGGAAAATGTAATTCGGAAAAGAGGGTACAGCAGAGACACAGAGCAAAATTGTTTACCAGTCGTGGGAAGTACACGTCGGCTTGAACTGGAGAGCTCAAGGAGTTGTTCAAATGCCCGTCATCTAGTTTCTAAAAATAGAGGCACATAGATTGGTTTTCTATAGGTTCTTTGAGGGGGGGTGTAAGAAGCTACACCAATGTGGTGGAGTTCAGTAGCCATTCACACACGGCAGTGTCTGTAGATGATGCTTCTTCATAGCCCATTAAATAATCGCATAACTCCCTCCCCCCAAGAACAAAATCCATCCTTTTCACCCAGTAGCTAAGCCTCTGAGGATCCCCAGACCCTTCAGATCCAGAGCGAAATCAAGGTCGAGGCACACCGGGGAGCCAGAGCCCTGTGCTGGAGAAGGGCAGGCCCCTCTCCAACTGCAAATGCTTCTAAAACCGCTGTGGCCCAGGCCTGTCCTCTAGGACGTGGCTGAAGTCTCAACTTCTCTTGGGAGCCCCAGGCGAAGACCTATTTCCAAGGGGGAATCCCCAGCACGTTGGGGGCGGTGGCGGGGCGCGCGCCCCGGACACACTCACCCACGCGCACACTCACACGTGCAATGTGCACTCACCTGGCTGTCGGGCACTCCTACCCCGTCTACTCCCAAACACCGTCCCGCAGCCCCGAGCCTTCCAGCCGGGGAGTCCCTCCCTCCCCCTACCAGTAGCGCACAGCCGGCTCCGGCGAACAGGTACCCGGTCGCCTTCGCGCGCTGGCGCCAGGCTGGGCCTGCAGCTTCTTTCCGCCCCCACCCGGCTGAAGCTGGCTTTGGTGGCTTGCGGGGCGGGGGGAAGGGGTGTCTCGCGTGCACCCCGCCACACTCACCACAACGGCATCACTGTCGGCCACCGATCCCGCCATCTTCTTGCACAGCGCGGCGGGGCGCACCGGTGGCAGCCGGCGGCTGAGGACGTGGGACGCGGTGCGCGGGCTGGGATCCCAGGGCCGTCTTGCGCGGGGCGGGGGCGCGGGTCCGAGGCTGGCGCGGGCGCGTGCACACACGAGGGCACGCGCGCGCGGGCGCACGCCCGGGGCCGGGCGCCGACCTGGCAGGCACTGCCGGAGAGGGGGAGGAGGGGAGGGAAGGGAAGGGGACGCGCAGAGCAAGGCAGCACCGGCCCGGAGGTCCTGGTTGGTCGCTGCTGCCGGGACCCGGACCGCGGCTGGCGCTGCTGCTCTTGCTGCCGCCGCCCAAGGAAGAAAGGTGGCGAGGGCCCTGCCGCGTCGGCTCTAGGTGGCATTTAAAGGCCTCCGGGGCCCGGCTATGGAACCGGGAACAGGGCGGGGATCCTGCTGGGCTGCCGCGGCTTGCTCAGCTTGCCCTGCCCCTCGGCCATTGGACTGTGGCGAGAGGCCGGGCGGGAGGGATGGGCCTGTCCAGGACCGGGAGGGCGGGGGCCTTGGCGGAGCCTACTGGAGGGAGTGGTAGGACGGGGGACGGGGCAAGTGGGGGCCGAGGCCTGCCAGGTGACAGGTGTTTGTGACACTCCACCCCTCCCAGCCTCCTTCTCTTGCCACGTCCTGGGGTCAGGTGGACAGTGGGAGGCTAGGTCAACGGAAGATTGTGAGCCAGGGGAAGGTTCTAGAGCGGGAGACTCGGCATGATTTCTTTCAGAGAACTCCAACAATGTGGGAGGAAAGATTCATTCTGCTCTCTGGGGTAGAAAGGGAATAAAAGGTCTCAAGGCTTGCAGAAATAGATATTTGATCCAAAAGAAAGAAGCAGAGAAGACTCAAGGTAGGGACTTTTATGTCCTAGGAAGCTAGGTGCAGAACAGGCCTTTCCTTCGGAAGGACAGCAGAGCTGGGGTCCCTGAAGACTCTGGGGCAGGAGTCTGGTTGTCTTACCAAATTATGCTGCGACAGTCAAGTCACTTGGCCAGTTTGGGACAGTAAGTTTCTCACTGAAAATCTCCTGATATCCTTCGTAGAGTAATTCCTGGGGGATATACCCCTCTTTTAATCCAAAACGTAAATTCCTTTATGGCATTTCTACATTAGGATTATTATGTAATTTCTCAGATAAAGCTGTATCAACACATCCTCGATAGGTGACATCCTTGGCTTAAACATTCCATCGTGTGAATCACTAGGGTGTTCTACACTAATAAGCAGGGAGCAGTCCCAGAGGGGCCCTCAGAAGCTCCCTTCCAGCCACTTTACTGGCTGTGTGGCCTAGAATAGCACTGTGGCTTTTCCCTCTTAGTTTTCCCTTTATGGACCAGAGCTAATCGTCCTAATCTCAGTCAGGCAGGGAGAATTACCTGCACACGCCTGTAAGTCACAGTCATATCCTCTGTGTAAGTGTTTCTCTGAATTAGAGTCTGAAGTGCAGCACAGTTGAGGTTACATTTTTGTTCTCATTTATAAGTCTTAGTTCAAAATCACACCTTGTTGATTATTTTAATATTAGGTAGTTACGGGAAATTATTAACATTTGAAAGTATACTTCAGTATATCTCACTTGCTGACAGTCTAGTATAGGGAAGAAGCATTAAAGAACAGTAGTTCTTTGTAATTAGCTAAGATAAGAGTGACACAGTACATTATGGTGTTTAAAAAGCCAGAGTCCTGGGTTCAAATCCTGGCTCTACTATTGACTAGCTGGGTGATCTTGCACAGTTACTTCCATGTGCCAGTTTCTTCATCTGTGAACCAGAAATGACAATGAGGCAATTGGGAAGATTAAGTAAATTGGTTCCTTTATCTTCCTTAGAATAGTAAACACTTATATTACAAAAATACTGAGTTCCTACTATATACTAGGCACTAGGGGTCGAGTAGGGAATTTTCTGTTGAGCTTACATTCTAGTGGGGAAAAGCAGTCAATGAACAAATCTATATGAACTTAATTGACAGGTGATAAAAATGTTAGAAAAAAGTGACTGTTCCTTATTGGAGCAGTCCACTCTACCATTTTTGAGGTTGTTGTGAAAAAAAAGAAAAGGAAAAATTAATACTTGTTTCCCCCAAACTAAGATACTGTCTTATATTTATTTTTTCTCAAGAAGATACACTAGGGCTTATTTTCAGGGGATGCCTCCCTCCCCCTCCGCTGAAATGCATTGTGTGGCTATGCAGATACGCTGGATAGCCGTGCCCATCACTAGGTCTTATTATTGGGGTGGGCTTATATTTAACAAATGCATAGAAATCCTGCTAAGGCTTATTTTTTGGGTAGGTCTTATTTTTGGGGAAACATGGTAAGGCAGATTAAGGAGGGAAGGAAATGTAGAAGGTAGGATAGTGCTATTTACACAGGGTGGTCACGGTAGCCTCTAGTGCAGTGACATTTGAGAGGACCCCTAAAGGAGAGCTGAGGAGGCAGTCATATGGAGGAAGAGGTTGCTGGCAGAGGGACCTGCAAGGGCAAAGTCCCAGAGGTGGAGCATGTTGGGGCAGGGGCACTGACTGAAGGGATGAGTATTTAGGAATGGACAGGCCTTGTACACTGTGGTGAGGATTTGCTTTTACTCAGGGGAGGTGGGAAGACATTGGATGTTTCTGAGCAAAGGAGTGACATAGTTTCCCTTCTGTTGTAGGTACATCCTTCTGGCTGCTGTGGGGAGTGGCCTTTGGGGGAGAGTGGTATGTATAAGGTGACCAGATTTTAACATTGGTAAAGTGGGACACCATTGACAGGGGGGTGGGGGTGGGGGTTGGGTTCTTAATTTAAAATTTGGTCTATATGGAGCAACAAAAATTTTCATAGAACGCAAAAATAGTATTGTAATATATATTTTTAAATTTCAACATAAGTACAATTTACAAATATAATACATTAAAAAATTATGTATAGTATTATTTTATTCTTTGGCATATTTCTCGTCGAATTCTAACGACTGATCAACAATGCGAACTTTGATAAGCAGTTCTCAATGATTAGTTCTCAACAGTTATTTCTTATTATTAAAGTTTAACATTATAGGCTCAGCGCCTATGGCTCAAGTGGCTAAGGCGCCAGCCACATACACCTAAGGTGGCAGGTTCAAATCCAGCCCGGTCTCACCAAACAGCAATGACGGCTGCAACCAAAAAATAGCTGGGCGTTGTGGGGTGCGCCTGTGGTCCCAACTACTTGGGAGGCGGAGGCAGGAGACTCGCTTGAGCCCAGGAGTTGGAGGTTGCTGTGAGCTGTGAAGCCACGGCACTCTACCCAGGGGGACAGCTTGAGGCTCTGCTTCAAAAAAAAAAAAAAAAGTTTAACATTATAAAATTAACAAAAATAATATAAAACTCATCCTGGCGAAATAGCCACATGGCAGCTGAAAACCATATATTCCCTTCCTGTTCTCCCTCCATTCCCTAGCTTGTCATGCATTCTTTCCAAAAATCGGAATTTTTAAAAAATGCTGCGGGACAAATTGTTAAAAATTGGGATTGTCCCTGCCAAAAGCGGGACATCTGGTCACCTTAGGGAGGGAGGGTAAACACAAGACTTAGGAGACTTCTGCACCAGTCCAAGCAAGATGTGATGGTGGCCTGGACTTGCTGGAAGTGGCGAGCGTGCAAGGAGCATAGGCCCTTAATAAGTTCCAACTATTACCCTGCAGCTTTGAGAGCTCATGTGCCTTCTTAGCCTCAATTTCCTCCCTGGCAAAATTAAGGGATTGGGCTCATTCATCATCCCCTCGGCTCTTAGAAAGTTCTTCTGGTCCCTAAAAAGCTATGTGAATACTATTTCAATTTAAATGTGTTTGAGAGTAGGTGCTGCTGAATGGAAATAATCTTGGGTTGAATCACTTGATAAATGGTTTTGTAGGGTGAAGAATAACCTGTTTATTTGTTTAGTAAGTGGAGTCTAAGATATTTGAATCTCTGGACATGAGTTTCTTACCTTTTAGGAATGGAAAGTATAGGAAAGTACTGAACTTGCCTTGAATATTTTAACATGGAAAATTGCCTTTTATTTCAAAAATGCTTAATTCTTTTTCACACATTCTATGGAATAGTTAATTTTGAAAGCAAAAAGAGAAAGCAGAGAGAAAGCCTAAAGCAGAGAAAAAGCCTCAAAGAATTTTTTTTGTTGTTAACTAAAAGCTGAGCAGGGTCAAATTGCCTCTTATAGGGAAAACCATTAGCAAATTAATGAATTATAGAGTGAAAAAAATTTTTTTTGAGTTCTATAGTGAATGCTAGCCAAACTTTGCTCTATGCTTTGATTATAGGCATATCTGGATTAAAAACATCAACCAAGATTGAGAACCATTTATGAAATGCAACAGTGAAATTTCAAGATGAACTGACACTATGAAAAAGGTTAAAGAAGAGGGAAGGCAGTCGGGCAGATGATTAGCACTGAACAAAAAGATAAACAGGTCTTCAAAGGTAGACTTTGCTAAATGATCTTTCCAGAGGAAAATAGATCATAGTCTTTTTTCCTTCTCAGGTTATATGTTTTTTTTTAATGCATGTTTGCAGAATTCCTAATACTGGGGGGAGAACAAAGTATTGATGGCAACTTGGCAGCCATTCTATTGGCATTGCTGTATGCTGTGGTGCTGTGGACCAAGAAGATGTATTTTAAAATACAGGAGTTTTGTCCTCAGGGAGTTTACAGCCCACTCTGGGCCACAGTGGCAGGATTCAGTAGTGCATAAAAGAATAAGGACCTCAAACCTATGGACTGGGCACTAATAGGGGGAGGTTGACTCCAATTTGGAGGGTTCAGGCAGCTTTCTGGAGGAGATGGCTGAGTCCTCCATATCGCTGAGCCCATGCATAGCAGCAGCTTCCTTGGCACCACAAAAACAAGTCTTCAAAGGCTACATTGCAGGTCTGTTCATGGACATTCGTAGTCTGGCCTGAGACCATCAGGCCACTTGTTTTCTGTGTACCTATATGCATTGTTTAAAGCAGGGTCCCTCAACTTCATGCTATTGAGATAATAGGCTGG